TTTGTAGATGAGTTGGAACATTTCCTGAAATTTTCAGCCTCGCTGCTTTCTTGGTTCCCGAGCTAGAGGTTTTCGCGCCAGGAACCCTCAGGGGGCTGTACGCGGGAACCACGAACCCCCGGGGGCTAAATTTGAAATCTTTGAGTTCTACTTGGACTGGAAACATAATCCCAAAGTTTCAGCTTTCTAGCTTTTCTGGTTCTCGAGTTAGCGATTTTCCCGCCGAGACTTTGAGGCGCTCGTACGCGGGGCCCAGACATGCTTGAGGGTTGGTACCGCGGTCCTGGGGTGGCACTTGGCCGGTAACCCACTCGCAAAATTTTGGCGGCGGAGCTTGCTTGGGTGCCGAGTTGAAATACCCGGACAGACGCACACATACACACACACCGGGATCGTCGCAATATGCGTTTTTACATTTGCATATTATGCAAAACACATAAAAACGATGCAAAAATTTGATTCAGCACCACTAAAATATTATAGTGCCACATGTGACACGCACAAAATTTTACACACTGACATGCATAAAATTAGTGGAACCTATTCAAAGTTTGCGAGCACGGTGATTTTCAGGATGAAAAGGCAAAATTGCTTGTTACCGGTCGCACCAAATGTTTTGGTCCTGGTACCAGCAACAGTGCTGGATAATGAATCATAAGGACCGCTAAGGGGTATAACTAGCAATGTTTAACACATAAGCAGGGCATAAATTACAACCCATGTAAGAAAAATACAAAATTCGACTAGCACCGCTGCGGTACCACAGGGCCACAAGTGTTTACGGTATTTTAGTACCACACATGTTTTTGCGCTTCCACTGGCTTTGTGTGTACAAAACGTTTACGTGAAAATGTACAGCTAGGCCAATTCCTCGGTGACTTGTGTATCTAGCTATCAAAATTCAGTTCTGAAAATTTTATTTATTTGGGCAAATCAATCGAGAAGTCTATCGCGTTTTTAGCTGTGACTTTACACTCGACGCGTATGTTTTCAAAATTTATGAAAGTGGTTCGAGCTGATTAAATTTTCACCACAGGTCAACATTTGGAACATCGGTGACCTAAAAAAACCGTAGAACGACGCATGATGGGTATCAGCAAGTTACACTTTTCTAATGAAATACCTTAGAAATTAAATTTACAATCGAGCACAAGGCCAAAAACTTAAAAATCACCTTTGAACTGCCTTGTCTTAGCTTCCGATTCGTAGAGTGAATTCGGGGAAATTCACTGTTCGAAAATTAAAAAATATTTGAGCTTGAAAGTATATGAATCTATTATGCATAAGGTCAAAACAAACTTCCAGGTCGTCCTATTTATAGACTTAGACGATAGCTTGAAAACCAAGCTAATTTCACTTTTCAAGAAGCGAAGAAAGTGTATGCTCGAAATTCCGAGGAGAAAGTTTTTGGCTGTATGTTGTACCAGTGGCCTACAGTTAATTTACATTACATTTTGTCCCAATCATTGTTGTCATTTTGGTTAAATTTATGCTAGCATTGTAAGCTGTGAACAAATAAAGCTAAAAATTTGAAATTTTACGAGTTTCGTTGTTTTTTTTTGTGAGCTCGCAACAACTTGTAGCAAAAACACTTGCTGATGTCGACTTCTCCCCCGAGCCTTACTTATTTAAAAAGTGGCACATAGTGGACTGTTAAACTTGATACAGAAGTACAAGAAAAATTGCCGAAGTTGTCCAACTTGAAGCTGACAATTAAAAAGCACTTAAAATACTAAAAGTCAGGAGACTTTGAATTGAAAGCTGAGCTGTAGAGATCAAAATATCACTGAATGTTGATTGATAAGGGTGCCAGTGGATAACTCGTGATATGATAAGAAAACTACATAAGGAACATTTCTTCCGGAAATTTTTGTTTGTGATAACACAAAAAATAAGCCTCTGCAAACATATTTGCCATGAGATTTTTCGATTCCATGACATTCATGCCAGCATCAGTTGCGCCAATTGTTTGTTCTACAAGCAATGCGAACTCAGCAAAGACAAGCTCAGCAAAGGCACAGTGAAGTGAATTCTTCTGGTGTAATAAGCGCCATTTTCAGAACTATTGGAATTTATTATCGAACAACTTGAATACTTGGAAAGCAAAGAACACATGTTGTGTCCAAATTGTTTCCTTGCGCTGAACTGCCCCAGATAAAATATTTAGACAAAACAAACAAATCGACTTTCAAATTTTGCTGAATTAATCTTGAAACTTTTTAAAACCCGGCTAGTTACTAAACAATGACTGACCAATAGCCGATCATGCTCACGAAGATTACAAACAAAAAAATGCAAGGTACAAATGTGGTGCTCAATCATTTATCATTTGACATATTCTGTTTTATCATAAAATATACTAAAAACAAATTTGTAAATAGCGCGAAGTATTATTAATAAGTTTCGGAGTCAATGGAAACTGCTTCGCCGGAGCAGCTTCGCCCCGCTTACAAAGAAATCCAGTAGCACCATCAGTATCGGATTTTCGCACCGATTGTCCGGATGATGCCGCGTATCTTTGTATTGAATAAGCATTCAAATTTTTGTGGATCGATCGCCAAAACACGAAGTAACTGATACTAACATGTGTTTGTGCAAAAATTTTGGCTGCAGCAGTGGAAACTGCTCGATTAGTGGAAAAATCAGGCTGAATTTGCACAGCTGCATTTGCTAGTATCAAAAGATTCACATGGATATTTCGCACTGACCTGAAATATGCGACGCAATATTTTGGACAACCTGGAATATGGGGAAAATAACAAAAAATAAGCATGAATCTTCAATTTGAAGGCATTTTTTGTCTTTCCTGATTTGAGAACATTTATTTTATGGGTCTTAGAATATGTGCTGCAAGCGGATTGTCTTCCAAAAAGCCCATGATAATCATTCTGCCGCTACTCAGCAAGACGACTTCTGTCGAGGATCCATAAAATTATTTTAAATTTGCTCATTTTCACTTTGAAGTTCCGTATCTCTCTGTTGATTTTCTGTTACGAGTGAATAAGTTAATCCTAGCCCCGATCCAAGTTAGCTCCCCAAAAACAGTCAGCCAATTTCGTCGTCATTTCCGATTTCATCGCTTTAAAGTTGGTAGAAATTCGGTAATTTTATCAAAGAGTGATGAATTTCGTTCCGCCTAATGGCATCTTTAGTGTGCAGCACTGTTTAACAGTGACGCAGGTCTCAAACCATCTATAAAATAGCAGTTATGCAATATCTCCAGTAATATTCATCCTACAAAACTTCTGAATGAATTTCAAAGCCGCTTGGATAATTAAATTAAGCCGTAATGGCTTAAAAATACTTGTAAGTTGTCACTGACTCTATGAAAAAGCGATAGTTTTAAAACACTGGAAAGCATTTTGAATGCATAAGTGAAAAACAGTGATAATAATAATGCTAATGAAAGTGGCGATAACAACGACACAGTCACAACAAAAGTGGCTGTAATGATAATGTTAATAATGTTTTTTTCTTGGTTTACTAAGTCCTGCTTACATTTTTGTCGGACTCACTTCTGCTGCTCGTAATTTTTAGCTATAGTGAATTTTTAAACATAAATTATTAGCACTTTTGATTTCCTAATTACATTGGGGCACAAGAACTCGATGACTGCATGCTAACACCCTAGCACTTTTATGCTTTAAAGTAAACATAAAAGAAAATTCTTTATAATAATATACCGGTAATAATGACCAAAATTTCAGTTTCGAAAGAAAGGTAACATCAGATTTTAACTTCTCGTACAAAACAGCATCCTTTTGGTGAATAATAAAAATGCTTCTCTAGTTTGCTTCTAGAAGTAAATTCTACTTTATGTCTTTACTCTGGAATCACTTTTGTTTGAGCTTGTTTGAGCTTCTGCACGGTCCTTCGTTGAATAAATCACAGAAATAAAATGTACTCCCAGTAAAATGTGTCATGTCGATAAATATGCTGTAACAGGCCGATTATGCTGCAGCTGTGCGCGCGCTACAGAGCGCTGACTGCACATTATACAAGGAGTTCCCTTTACCACATTTCTCATTGTTGTTGTTGTTGGTCGTCTTTGTCTAATACACTGTTCTATCTCGTCTCGTTTTTCTACACAATCTACACGACCAAAGATTACAACACAAAAAGTGTTTCAAATACCATAACTCATGTAATTCGATTATTGATTCTGCACAGTTTACATAAGATAACTTTTGTCT